CTATGATTCTATGAAAATCCCTTCTTGCAGTCCCACCACCTTCACAAAGATGTATCCGCCAACTGTCTTGATTTGGCAGGGAAGGCCCCAGGGTGTTTCTACACTTTATTTTATTTTATTTTATAGATTTTTAAAGCAAACCTTGATTTTGCCATTTTATATAAGGTAAACCATTTTATTGTATATAATGGGACTTGAGCATCCACATTTTGGTATCCATGGTGTGTGTGTGTGTGTCCTGGAACCAAATCCCAGCAGGATACTAAGGAGTCACTGTACTTAGTGGTCCAAAGAGTCCATCAAAATGCATTTCCACTGGAACTCATATTTTACTTTTCTTGCACTGTAAAAATAATGGAATTTGAGACTGCTTTAACTGCCATGGCTCCCTCCTACAGAACCCTGAGATTTGTACTTTTGTGAGGCAACAGCACATTTTGGCAGAGAAGATTAAAGACCTTGTCAAACTACATATCCCAGGATTTCCTAGGAAGGAGCTGCAGCACATAAAGCGGTGTCAAACTGCATGACTTAAAGTGGTGTCAAACCCTGCAAAACAGGGTTGGGGAAAAAAATCCATGGGGTTTTGGGTTTAAACCAGTTTTGTTATTGTTTTAATGATAAAAAAAATTGAATCCTGTTCATTAGATTAATGCTGTAAAGCATTATTTTAAGTATTAGCTTGATCAGCCATGTTTCAATGCCCTCCGACATAAAGAATCCAAAGTTATTAGGCTTTGATATGATTTACACCTTTCAATAAAACATTGGCAATTATATGGACAAGTCAACAGCCTATATCTAGGAATAAGGGACTACCCCAGTACAGGACTAAATCAGAAAATGAAGCAACAAAATGTCATTTAGATGTTATGCGTGAATAATAGTTGTTCTTTTTAAAAGTGCTCTTTTAAAGCGGGTTGTTTAGGTTGAATTTGGATTTGTTTGGCATTTCTGGCACTACATCATAAAGTAATGAAAAAGAAGCAATGGATACTCGATACTGGTCTAACAAGGAACAGCAGCCAATAAACTGTTAAAAGTTAAAATCTTT